AGGAAAGAGTGGACATTGATCCGGACGATTGGACTGAGCATCATGCGGAGGACGACAGTAAAATGGATGTAGAAGGTATACAGAACACATAGTTTACACTTCTTAAGATTGAAGCTGCTTTTAAGATAGCTGTAGATTTTACATGACTTTATTTTGATACAAAAATCTCTTTGCCTTTATTCCAGAACTTAAGAAAAAGCCACATTTCTTCAAGAAAGCACTAATGTGCTTCTGTGGACTGGAGCAGAACAAAAAAGCACCAAAACTTACTCCAGAGGAGGAAGCAGAACTGAAGAAGCAGCTAACAGATACAACAGAGAAGCCTCTCTGGAGGAACATTGTCAATGCAAATGTCATCATCCTCCTGAGTGTCACTGTGTTCTTCCACGGCTACTTTGGTTAGTCAAACCACATCAACATTAAGTGGTACCGGATGCTGTAATTTATTTTGCATGGATTCAAATTATAACAAAACCATTAATGTTGATCATGTGTGCAATCATTCTTCCTGTATTGTGCCAACTGATCTCACATAGGACACAAAGTGTACTTTTCTCAATGCACCTTCCTTTTAAGTTAACTTTTTCCTAGTACAGTGAACCGTCGCTATAACGTGGTTCACCTTTCAAGGTCTTGCTGCTTCGCGGATTTTTTTGTGCATTGTGTTCTGCGTCCTGATTGACTAAACAGTCTCCGCACTTCTTCTGTACCTGTGTGCCAAAACACTATGGTATTTAAATATACGTAATACAGCTTGGCCATTCAGGAGATGGAAACTGAAACTTTGAATGCCTGCTGGAGAAAACTGTGGCCAGAGGCAGTGCAAAGCCCAACCGGATGCTCGCTTGAGAAGATCCATTGCCATAGATACAGCTGTGAATCTCGCAAAACAGCTTGGAGGAGACGGCTTTAATGACACCACTCTGGATGACATTAAGGCCCGACTGATGCACACGCACATCCGCTGACCTGAAAACAGGTTTTGTTCTTTGGTTTCAGTGTAGAGTATTTAATTATCCTATGTAACAGGTGTAAAAATTAAAGGTAACTACTTCACGGATTTCGCCCATCACGGGTTCTTTTCAGAACGCAATCCCCACGAAAAACGAGGGTTCACTGTATTTGTCACCTGGAGTGAACCAGTAAACGATGGTGTAACATATTAATGCATCAAACTTGTTAGGATGTTCAAATTTTCACGTTTGTTCGGACTTCATATCATCTTATCATATTTGTACATATTCCTGTTATGACCCGAACGCCATCTTTTTGTTGCTGTGCAAAGAGAGTATATATATATATATAGCTTCAAATTGGCTTCTTTTTATTATCCCATTAAGTTAGAAAATTTACTTTTTGGCTAATTTTCATTGTGAAACTGCACACATACATTTGGCGATAATTTGTTTTATCTTAAGTTCCCTTCTTTTGTGACTGAAAACATAAACTCCTTTTTACTTCAAGTTTACAGACAATTGCTGTTTATATCACCAGATGCCACATTAAGTCATTATGAAAGAGGGACATGACAAAAGTTATTTACCTGGAAAAAGTTGGAGTCTGAGTTCTTTCTAATAATTCCTAACACTCTGTCCCTGAAATGACTTTATTCATTAACACCTAAAACAACACACACAGTTAGGTGTATGGAAGTTAGAAGTGACAGCCCTTGTGAACTTTGAGCACACATTATGAGAAAACCCAGCTGAAGTCGATGAATGAGGTAGCACACATACATTCTGGGGGAATTTACAACCATCTTGTTTGTCCTTTGCTGGTTAAATATGAAACCATATAAAAACAAAAAAAGATATTTCCAACCCCCTTCTTTTTCCATTTTCAAACATTTTTGAAACCACTGGACTATAGCAAGTACTGAAATTGTTCTCAGTTGCTGTTTTGCACGACATAATGCAACTAAATGTATCTTTTAGAACATCTCCATAAAAATAAAATAATCACATTCTCTCAAATAATACTCTCAAAAACATTGCAGGTTGCTAACATCATGTTTTATCTCAGGTGGACTGGCTGCAGTGATGTACACAGACACCTTACAGACCGTCATCATGCTTATTAGATCCTTCGTTCTCATGGGTTTTGGTAATAAATAGTAATCATTATTTATAATTTTACTTTGGACCCACATTTGTTTTATTATATTATCGAGAAACTGAAGCATAAACTTCAGTCTAATGCTCAGCTTTCAAGGAAGTGGGAGGCTATGAAAATATGAAGGACAGGTATGAGAGGCCCCATGGGACAAAACTTACAAACCCTCTCACATGTACTATCATACTCTCTTACACATATGTCAAACCCTCCTACTGTCAAACTCTCTCACATGTATACTATCAAACTCTTATGTACGCTATCAAAGTCTCTCGCAAGTTAACTTAAGATTTCAGTTTCTGATTGGACCCCAGGCAGGAGAAGGCGGGTTTTCACAGACAGAAAAATAGCTGAGCGGCAGCGACTCACAGAGGCAACTAATATTTTAAATGACATCGTTAGCGCTCCTACAGTAATGTCAGCATTATCAGAAGTGTTAGACAGAAGCCGGAACCCCCATCTATCAGTGCGTTAAAGGTTCGGAAATGGCAGAAAAGCCAGCCTGCTCTGGATTTTAATGTGCGCGACAGTTCAAGTTACGGCGCTCTCCTTTCAAAATAAAAGCGCACCTTCGGTTTGTGTTTGATTCACGGGTGATTCTTTTTTTGCGGCAACATTCCATGTCACCATGTTTTGCTTACAATTATTTTTTTTGTAAAATGTGTCAAATATTTACAACAAAGTATTTTAATTATACATTTATATATTTGCCATTAATCAAACAGAAATAAAATGCCTTTTAAATATTTTGTTCTTGACACACCTTTGACATCTTCAATTTCATTGTGTCCCCAGTGCAGTGTAATAGACTTCCTCATGAAGTTTAAACTATAGTATATTTATATATACATTATGTTTTTCTTGAATAAGTTGATTGACTGGACTAAACATTATTTTAATATGCAATTGAATCTGTTGAAACCATTTTTCTTATTTGATATTTTCTTCATATTCTACATGTCCCAGTACTAATTTTCCGCCCTGTTAGGATGTTTCCTTTTTGCCTTCAAAAAGAAAACATTTACTGGAAGTGACATCAATTGGTTTTGAAGTGAATTCAACCATGGAAAACAAGGTAAGCTTGAATGAACCAAACAAGGCGGAAATTAATACTGGCAATACTCTGTAAAATACCAGAATGTTCACATAACTTATACTTTTGGCTGTCTGAGGATACATTTTGAATATTAAATCAGGAAGTACTTCAGTAGTTACCAAATACTTTTTACACTTGCTTAATTAAACGTATTTAAAGAATACTACTCTGATTGGCGTACAATTTTGGGGTACTCTAACCAACTAAGCATGAATGATTGCTCTATGGATCACTTCTTAAAGACAAAAAACACTGCCATAAAATAATGTCTATCACTACAGCGGATGTCCCACCCCATAAGAGTCGGGCGACACGCACCGTGGTGGGCGTCCCTTATTTTGATTTCTGAAAGGTGGCAACCCTACCTAATCCTCTAATAGCTACACATTATTTAAAGGATCATATGTTGGTTATCTGTTGTGTTGATCTGTGTTATGACAAAAGATGAACATGTTAAGAGGTTAGAAAAAATTATCTCATTTCCAATTAAAACTGGTAAAAGCTACTAAAATAGTTAAAAATTTGTATTTTATTTCCAATCTCTGCCATTAAGGACTAAACCATTCTTACTTCACATGGGAATTTACCAATTTAAAACATTGACCTATATAAAAATACATTCTACTAAATGCAAATATATATACATTTGCTTTTTAGAAATATGTTATTCCTTCGCCGAAGCACCATGAAACGCCACGAAAACGTGCAAACAATATCAGTTTCATGTAAACCTCAATCTAGTTCCATCCTGCATTTGGGCTTTCAACAATTACCAATTATGACAACAAAAAGATGCATCATGGTCTCCTTAATTTTTTTTCTGAAATGTTAATGTCTGCAAACGATCTATGTTCTGCATTGCTGGTTGTATGATTCAGTTTCATGTGTGGACATTTTTCAGCATCTCCTGTCTGCTTAAGAATCATGGATTAGAAGCTATAAAAGGACTTGCATTTCTTTTATTGCTCTCTGTCCCCCTTCATCCAAGAAGCTAATTATTAACAGACAGCTAAAAATACATGTTTATCAAGAGCGTTAAATCCCATTATAATAAGGTGAAGGAAAGGTTAAAAGCTATGCGCTTATTTTACACTATTGTACCACAATCCTTTTAGACAATGTTCAGAGTAAAACACAACCAATAAACATGTTTTATACTGGTGTCAACATATTTGGAGAGCTGTGGTATAAGGTTTGCAGAGCTAAACTTCAATAAACCTCATTCTGCCTCCATCCTGCATTTGGGCTTTCACCAATTATGACAACAAGAAGACGTATCATGGTCTCCTTTCTTTTTATCTGAAATGTTCATGTCTGTAAACAATCTGTGACCTTGGGTACAGCTTTTGTTATGTGGAGAACCTTAGACCCTCCTTTAACCAGATCACACAGATAAGTTTGTAAAAATTAACAGAGGCACTGCTGCAAATTAAATACAGTTTAATGAATTCAAATGTCGTCACAATTTATTAGTTTTATTGTACAGAAATGACCACTAAAAAAGTGGGAGGCTATGATGGCTCTGGGAACCTTACAGCTGACAATTAGTTAAAACCCGATTAAATAAAATTAGACTGCTTGGGGGAGGAATAATAATAAGGAAATTGAAAAATCAAAAACTGAAACAGGAGCAGGCCAGCCTACTCACAAAAGAGATCAAGTTAAACAGGCACATTAAGCAGCCAGATAATCATAAGAAACGGCCCTTACCTTCTCTAAAGTGAAACCAGTAAACGGGGCTCTTGACATCACTCTCTCTAAGGTATGTTCCCTACAACAATCAGTGAATGAGCCAAAAATAAATTCTAAACCCACTTCACGACCAATGTTAAACATACCTCTGCACGAGCTGCTGGAGATGCTGAAGGATCTGCTGTCTGATAACAAAGTTGCCCTGGAGACTCAGGGCAACCTGGGATCTGATCTGGTCAGCGATCTATCTGCTTTTAAATGTAAATGCTGATTACCTGTCGTCCATATATGGGCAAGAGGAAGAGTGCGCAGCACCATATATCCAGGGCAAGATGCCCCGGCTACAAATCTATGCTCTGCATTGCTGGTTGTATGATTTGGTTTCATGTGTGGACGTTTTTCAGCCTCTCCTGTCTTCTAAAGAATCATGGATTAGAAGCTATAAAAGGACTAGTATTTCTTTTATTGCTCTCTGTCCCCCATCATCTTAGAAGCTAATTATTAACAGACAGCTAAAAATAGATGTTTATCAAGAGCGTTAAATCCCATTATAATAAGGTGAAGGAAAGGTTAAAAGCTATGTGCTTATTTTAGACTATTGTACCACAATCCTTTTAGACAATGTTCAGAGTAAAACACAACCAATAAACATGTTTTATGTTGGTGAGAATTCAGTTTTC